TTTTTTTTTTTTTTTTTTTTAGGTTCAGATGAAACAGAGAATGTAGAGGTGAGTGAAATTGTTCTCAGCAGAAGGGAGTCAGTTCTTCATTTCTTTGTCTGTTAACTACTATTTAGTAAGTTTCTTCTGTGTGCCAGGCCAGAAAGATTAATGGGTACATGCACAGTGCGTCCCACCTTCTCAGCTCCAGTCAAGGAATTATTCAGGTTCCATTTCTGGGAGACAAATTCTTCCTCCTTGGCCCCATTGTATTACCTCCCTTAACTTTTGCAATTGTTCTTTACCCTGTAGGGATTACAGCCAGGTCAAAACAATTAGTTCTGCATATTGTATACTTTTGAATAACAAGGACCAAGCTTTCCAAAGTCCCAAGAATGCCTTCAATTAGTTGAGTAATGCTGTTCTGCAGAAGGCGCTTTGACTCATGTTGGTTGATCCTCAGCTCCTGCTGGCATGACTCGATGCTTAGAAAGACTTGATTTTGTAAAGCTGGGTGAGGCCCAGGAATCTAGTTTGTGAAAGACCCCCTGGTGCTACGGGCTGCCTCCACAGGCACATTCCCTAGAAGTTAGAGTGTGAACCAAGAAGTGCCAGAGATCTGGCTTCCAGTCCCACCTCTGTTTCTTTCCCTTTAAAATGAGAGGGTTGTCAAAGGGGTCAGATGAAGTTTTGGGTGTGGACCACTTGGCAGGTGGTCAAGACAGTGCTGCCCCTTGGTATTTGTGGGTGTTGTTCTCATCATCATCACCACCTTCTCCACCAGGGTGTGTATGTACAGAACTTGTCCGGTTCCTTTTCCCATATGTAAATACAAAAGGAGCCTAAATGTAAAAACTGCCTCTTATATAAATCATTGTTTAGTGAACTCTTGGTTCTCTGTAGTTAACAGTGTTTCATATCAGTCATCTCATCTATTCTTGTAAAGCCAAAAAGGAGGAATCTCGCTAAGAATCATAGAATCAGGGAACTGTGAGTCTCTAGAATCTGTGAACCAGGCCCAGTTTATGCTGCTGAGGTGTCAGGGTAGATTAGGTTTGGGAATGTGAAGACAAGTTGTGCTACTTTCCTGGCCCTTAGGTACAGGAAGCACCATGATAACACATCATGGCAGTGATTGACTATATAACATGGTCTTTGCATTCATAACTATTATTAGCTTTAGGTGTTACTTATTTTAGTTTTTTTTTTTAAGATTTATTTATTTATGCTTACAGAATGGTGGGGAACAGGCCAGAGGTGCAGGGATTCACCAGAGACAGAGTGGGGAACAGAACAGGCAGATGTACTGAAATACATTACTGAGGGAAACAGCAGACAGGACAGGAGAGGTCTGCCATGCCATGTGGGTCAGCTCCCTGAAGGGGCATGGAACTCTGGCTGCAATGGCTTCGGAGAGCTTTGTAATGCGGTGCTTTAACCCGTTTTGCCACCAGGGAGAGCCCTACATGTTATTCATTTTTATAGCTTCTAACTGAACAGTAACAGTGATCCCAATAATAAAAGAGTGGACATGTGTCTTCTTGCAAGGGAGGAATATCATAGAACCTAGGAAGTAATTTTTTTTCTGGCTAATACCTGTATTTGGTTCAGTTTCACATAAATGAGAGTTAATACTTTCCCATCTGTGGATTTTGCATCTTTTTCTTTGAACTAAGAGGTAATGCATCTACCCCAAACTGTCTCAGACATCTTTGTCTTGGGGGATGAATAATTCTCTCTGGTAAGAGATATCTGTAAGAGGAAGGAAATGGAATGAATAAAATGGAAAATTGAGAGCAAATAGTTTCCTGGGCTAATGCAGTCAATTATAATTTAAAATAATTAATTTTGTATACTTTTCATTTTACTTAAACAGATAACACTTCATTCAAATATATATATATATGTTTGCATTATTTTTTTCTTTCATAAGCAGTACTTGATTATTTTAAAAATGCATAGTATGTAAAACTTCACCTTAATAGCTAAAACAGTTTAATTACATTGCTCCTATTTTCCTCCCTCCATTCCCCGTGTCTACTCACATATTTGAAATTGTCTTGTATGCATAGTGTTGCTTTATTTATTTATTTTTGGTATTTCTTGGACATAGTGCTAGTATGTCCTTTTTAACAACTGCATAGCATTCTGCAATAGGCATGTGTGTGTGTGTGTGTGTGTGTGTGTGTTGG